GTTGCAAAATTGGGATACCACCGCCTTGCTCAATTTCTGGTATGCTCGTCAGAAAACAGGTGAAGGTCCGACATTCCTGTTCAAGGCATGGAGGAACAAAGAAGGCGACGTGGTGGATTCCGTTGTATCTGAGAAATCACCTCCTCGTCTGAAGTGTAAGAGGGTGATGATCCGGAGACCTCGAGATTCATCAACCGAATCCGAGAGTGAGGCTAAGGGCCCTGGTGATGTTGAACATGAAGTTCCACTGCCAGCCCCGAAGAGCTTCCGGAGGAAGAAAGATGCGATTGAGGCACCGGCGAGAACAACTCGGAGTAAGTCAGTGCAACACCCATCTGACAGAGTTACTAGAGCAAGGGGCAAAAAGTAATGTACATGTACCATTGTCTCGTATGTCACTATCAATGTTATTCAATTGGTATTCAATTTACATGTGATGTTAATGTGGTCAAAGATTCTGTGGTTCACCGAGTAATTTGAACAAATGACCATGTACCGAGTTCCGGGTCCAAATACCGAGTTCCGGGTATCAATTACCGAGGTCCAGGCATTGAGGTCCGGGCAGGTACTTGATTCAGGGAACTTGGTATTTGTTGCCCGGAACTCAGAACTCAGAACTCGGCACTTGATGCCCGGACCTCAATACCCAGAACGCGATATTTGGTGTTGGGTACTCTGTGCCTGGAAATTGATACCCAGAACTCTTGATAGATTACTTATTCTACATGGCAGTAATGTAATACCTCTGTTCCAGTAATTTACATGTGATGTGACTATGTTATCGAAAGATTCAGTATTTTACTGAGTTGGTACTTTACATGGGATGGTATTGAAAATTCAGAAGTTTAGTTTTGGTTTCGTTCTTCACACTGACGAATCATGGAATCTACCACCTTGAGCATTTCGATGCTTGCCTGTTCAGCTCTTCTCAGCCTCTGTAGCTCAGCATCAGCCCTCCGGAGCTTGTCAGATGTATCCGCCCAAGCGATTTGAAATGGTCGCTCAGCCTCGATGAGTAGTGGTATGGAAGGGGCCGGAAGACCTCCATTATCTTGTTGTAGCTGCTGAGTCTATCTTGAAGGGATTGCACTGAAATGAAAATAAGAAAAATGATAGATATAGTAGTATACCAGATACTCACATCCGGAGTGTTCGAATGACCCTATTGGCCGGAACTCACGAACCATTGCATGCAAATCTTCATTTGTGACCTCCAGATGTACTGGATCACATTCGGCTGGTCTCTCATTCGCTTGTGAGATAAATTAAGTTTTGATTGAAAAATGTGTAGAATTTACTTACATGACATTGAAACTTCAGATGTGACCGGAGACTCACACCGTGCATAGACAGAGCCCGGCTCATCATCACAATCAATCAGATCCTCATCAGGCCCAAGGTACAAGTCTGGGTCGATGTACTGAACCGGTTGATCGTATTGAGCCAGAGGTAATTGATCTGTACGAGTTTAGTGAGCATGCATGGTAATATTCAAGTGATAAATGTACCGGGGATTGCAGCCAACACACCCGGACCACTGGAAGACACGGAATCATCTTCTATGTCATCATCCGGCCCAAGGTATAAATCATCTAAGGCATGTAAGATAAAAACATAGATAAGGCATAGTACAAATAGATCTTACCTGTTGATGTCCCGGACTGTGTTGAATCATCTATGTCCATTGAATAATACTTGGTCGCCGGAGGATCGTTAAATCTGACTGTTGGATGTGAATTCATCTTGTGAGGGACGGAAGTACCGATAATTGATTGTATACTTGAAGTTCAACTGAAGTCCGGCAACTTCCGAAAGTTGAACCATCGCCAAACAAAGCCAAACAAATCAACAAAGTTTTACATGGCCATTCAACTGCCTGTTTTCCCTCTGAAACTTCATCAATTTCACATCTGATTCAAAGATTTACACATCTTTCTCATCATTCAACATGTCCACTCCAGCTGAAACCTCTTTTGCCGAACTTAAGGCAATCACTAGGCAGATTGTTGACATTGTCTGCGCAGCTCGGCTCCTCCCACCCGGCAACAGCCACTTGGCTCTGAAAGCACAAGTCACTGAACTGGTGGTATGTTGTTTTTCCTTTTTTTCTTTTCATTTTCTCTAATGACCGGGCAGGCTGAGGCCGTCCAGGACCATGAGGCTTCACCTTGCATTCTGGGCATAGTCTTGTCCTGCTCCAAGGAGCTACTTCGCGTTCGGCAGTTGTCCCCCCAGGATTCGCCCAACTGGCACAGCATCAGCCATAATGATCTTCGCCTCCAGAGGCACAGCTGGTGCCACAAGGTCTCCGCATGGGAGGCTTTAGGCGACCGGACATTCGATCTTCTGGTCGATGCCCCCAAATCCCCTGACACTGTCGCGGTCGACCTTCCCTCCCCACCTGCTGTCGCTGGCAGCATTGCCGGCCCATCGTCCAGCACTATTGACGAGTCCCGGGAGAAGCGTGAGGATAAGGGTAAGGGTAAGGCGTTAGATGCTGACCCAGAACCTGAGGCGGATGGGAGTAGGAAGAGGAAATCGCCCCTGATTTCGGGACCCTCCTCCCAACTGCCGAAATCCGCGATGAAGAGTCGCAAGAGGGCAAAGTCAGCTCGGGTTGTGAAGTCAGCCGAGTTTGTGGAGTCCGAGGATGAACCTGTGGACAAGGTATGTCATTCTGTTTGTTGTTTTCATTGTCACTCATTATTTTGCAGCCGGCTGCCCAAGGAGGGCCGGTCGTCTTACTTCATCGTCTCACCTCAGTCTCGCCCCGGATCCCCAAGAAGAGACCTTTTGGCCCTGTGAAGGTATGTCTAATTTATGCCTGCATCACTCTTGGTCATCTGTACTGTCGTCAGATAATTGCTGGAAGGTGTGCAGACGTCGCCGGGCAGACTGACTCGATGTCCAACACCCCCATGGTCACCCCGGTGGTGGCACCAACTGTCATCGATGGCCCTGCTGGAAGCCCTCCAGAGGTCGTTGAGCACTCGGACTCGGCGTCCAATACCCCCGCGGTCACCCCGGACGTGGCGCCAACTGTCATCGATACAGATGACATTCTCATTCCCAGACCGGTGAGTACTTTGAAAATTGACTGGGCGTCCTTCAACTAACTGAACAAACAGAACAACCCATGCTGGGCTTGCAACAATGTGGAGTTGCCCTGCACAACCCGGTTCGACAAGAGAACTGGGAAAGGCCTTCTCTCCTGTGTTTTCTGCAACACAAAGAAGGTAAAGTGTTTTTCCATCACCCTCGGAAGTCCACCGAAATGGTCTCGGGGTAAGTCGACCACCCGGAAGGCCAGGTCCCGGACACCTTCCAAAGCTCCGTCCACCTCCCAACCAAAGGCCCGGACCCGCAGCCAATCTCGTGGTGTAGCCGGAGCTGCCGGTGCCGGTGCTGCCGGAACTGCCAGTGGGTCTGCTGCGACCGCACCTAAGATGCGCGGTCGCAGCAAGACAATAACTGCTGTCAAGGCACCCGCCCCACCACCTACACCCTCACCTGCACCAGCTCGTAAGTCTTTCGAATTTCTCATCATCATCTTATCTTATTCCTTTGTAGCAATTGCGTCTTCGAGTGCCCGCGTGCCTCATGCGGCTCTCGACGTCCCTATGCCGGACCTCCATTCCATGGCAAGAAGTATTCGCGATAGTGCCGAATGCATCAAGGCTCTCGAGGGTCTTGTTGCTGAGCAGGGCAGCCGTATCGATACCCTCAGCAGGCTCCATGAGAGCCTTCGACGCCAAACCATGGAACCCCATCCCTCATTTCCCCTTCCCACCACTCCGGCAATTGCAACATCTTTGTTGCTTGATCAATCCGTCGCTGGAACAACATCACCCTCCCAATCCGCACTCCCTCCTCTCATCGATATTTCGATTGCAGTGGAGCCCACACCCTCGAAAATTGAGGATCGCTCTGCCATCGAGGGTCTTTCATTTGAGCTGAGCCAAGTTCAACCAACCCTGGACCCATCACCTACTCCCTCAACTGCTGGAGCAATTTTGGTGCCGGATGATCCACACAACCTTGTCCCGGAATACGATTCTGGTGATGAGATGGATGTTGAGGTGAAGGTTGAAGTTGAAGGTGGTGATGAGGGTCATCTGGTCAAGGTTGAAGGTGAAGGTGATGATGAGGGTCATCTGGGCGAGGTTGAAATGTCTACATAATTTGGTAGTTAGATTTCTGTAAATGTTCTTGAAATGCATTGTACCTCTGCTATACTCAAAGAATGAAATCGAGTTCTGGGTAACTAATACTGACGTCCAGGTAACTCATGCCGACGTCCGGTTAACTGATATCAACATCCGGGTAACATCCATCGACATCCGGGCAACTGGTATCGAGTTCCGGGCATCAAGCACCAAGTTCCGGGTAGCTAATACCGACATCCGGGTAACTGATATGGAGTTCCAGGGATGTCTTAAATTGGACAAATGACCGAGTACCGAGTTCCAGGCATTGAGTTCCAAGTTCCAGGCACCGGGGTCCGGGCATCGAGTTCCGAGTTCCGGGCACCGAGTTCTGGGAATCGAGCACTGAAACACGAAACTAAAATCCAACATTGTGTGAAGTACCGAGTTCCGAGTTCCGGGCATCGAGTTCTGAGTACCGAGTTCCGAGGTCCGGGCATCGAGTTCCAAGTACCGAGTTCTGAGGTCCGGGCATCGAGTTCCGAGTTCCGGGCATCGAGCACCGAAATACAACTCAGTGCCCGGAACTCGGAACTCGGTACTCGGAACTCGATGCCCAGAACTCGGAACTCGGTACTTCACACAATGTTGGATTTTAGTTTCGTGTTTCAGTGCTCGATGCCTGGAACTCGGTGCCCGGAGCTTGGAACTCGATGCCCGGACCTCGGTGCCCGGAACTTGGAACTCGATGCCCGGACCTCGGTGCCCGGAACTTGGTACTCGATGCCTGGAACTCGGTACTCGGTCATTTGTCCAATTTAAGACATCCCCGGAACTCCATATCAATTACCCGGATGTCAATATCAGTTACCCGGACATCGATGGATGTTACCCGGACATCGGTGTCAGTTACCCGGACATCAGGATTAGTTACCCGGAACTTGGTACTCGGTATTAGGTACTTGATGATTTGTCTAATTTACGAAATGTTGTATTCAGGCTTTCGTGTGTCTCATTTCGGTGGTCAATGATAGGTGTATGCACTCATACAGTGGGTATGTACTGGTGCCTACATCAGCACACTGATTAGTATGTTATCCAACTATCTCAGCCCACTGATGTTTATAACACTCATTCTTCTGGGCCCACCTGTCTATATGATATCAACCATCTCGGCCCACCCGTCTATATAATATACTACTACCTCGGCCCATACATCTATATGATACATATCTGGGCCCACCCATATATGTGATATCCAACTACCTCGGCCCACCCGTCTATATAATATCTAATAAATCGCTCTCTTGGCCCACCCATTGTGGGGAACGTCCCCACTGTAGGCCTGTATCCTGCATATTTCCCATGCCTTCCCACCATTTTCCCACGTGTTCCGCTACCCATCTGCATCTTCCCCGACCCGTCTGCTACACGGAACCAAGCGGAACCCAGCAGAACCCAGCAGAACAATCGCATACCACACACATTATATTCCTTCAGCCTTCGGAACATCCTCCTCCGTCCTGTCCATGTTCTTCCATCCTCACTGGTGAGTACTAGCTACGTTCCCCGTGTCGCTAACATGTTCCTATCTCATTTCCCATGTGTTATGGTACTTATATGGATCCTTCCGCTACTCGGGACCGATTCCTTATCTCACAGCCTCACCCGGTTGTAGCATATCGCATTTCAGAACCCCTTCCTATATAGGTAGCAATAGATGGGATCTTAGTTTTTTACCTTCTGATAGACTCGACTCCACTTCCACTTACAGAGTACTTCCCAGTACTCCACTCACTGTTTAAAATATCTTCCCGAATCTATTCCTGATCACATTGCATCGTTCCCGCCCCCGTGAGTTCCGCTCGAAACACCCGACATCGGATCTGACGACTTGGAGCAAGTACCAGACACAAGCCTGGTCCGACTTTGCCCAATCATCCTCCTGCAGGCTCATAGTTTCTTTTCCCTCCATTTGTTCCCCATTAGTTCCGTTTGTTCCCCGTTTGTCCTGTTTGCTCCACGTTAGTTCCGTTAGTTCCCCATAGTTCCGCTCGTCGCGCGCTGAGTTCCGCTCGTCAGGAACCCTCCGCATCTTTGTGTCCCCAGTCCTAGTAAGGACCGGAACCCTTCGGGTCGCTAGACAGAGTCTAGTCTTTGTTTCCTCACACTTATTTGAGGACTTGCTACCCAGTAGCAATCCCCTCGGGACGAGTATAAGCCTCGCACCCTTGTTAGACTTCTGATTCACACAGAGTCTATTTTCCTCACCCACACCGTTTATATGATAACAATTACCTCGGCCCACCCGTCTACATGATATACCCCTAAGTCGGCCCACCCGTCTACACAATATACTACTACCTCAGCCCACCTGTCTATGTAATATACCCTACACCGGCCCACCCGTCTATATCATATATAATAAACTGCTCCTCCGGCCCACCCATCTATATAATATACTACTACCTCGGCCCACCAGTCTATGTAATATACCCTATGTCGGCCCACCCGTCTATATCACATATAATAAACTGCTCCTCCAGCCCACCCGTTTATATAATAATACCACTACATCGGCCCACCCATCTATATAATATACATCTCTCTTCAGCCCACCTGTCTATAATATACATGTCCATCCTACTCTACATATTACCTAGATGGGCCCACCCATATTCATTGGTAATAATATCCCTCCCGGCCCATCCGTTAACATTGAGGATATCTTCATCATCGGCCCATGGTCCGCTGGCCCGTGTTATAGGGGATATTGTGCACATCAGTTGCCTCGTATAATATGGAGTTTGTCACTGAAGGGGCTCTCCTTCTAGCACCCAATGTTTGCTAATAATCAACATAGCTCTCAGCATCGCCCTAGTGGTGCTGTCATGATTCCAGGTGAAAATACTGGGGGCTATGATCAGGATAGCGGTCAACAGCAAATCACAGAAGCTTACCACAGACCAGCACCTCGCCCATCGCCACTATTCCCTGGTAACCACATGCTGCCACAGGTCAACAAGTTTTTTTTTCGGGCGGTTTACAACAGGATTTAGGCCAACAAACACCAGCGCCACTGATGGGAGGCCCTCAACATGATACACCATACCATGGCCATAACTCACTCACCCCATTTACAGGCAGCAACCCATTGTCGCGGTCACAATCACAGGCTCTGAGTGGATCTCACGAGGGGGGCTACCAGCATATCTACTCATTTTGTCAGCCTCAACAAGTAGCACCACTGTGAATGGATCCTTACCAGCACGTTCCAAATACCCTTGAAGATCAAGTCCGGGATCTCAACGCAACCGTTGCACACCTTGTATCTGAAGTCGCAAGACTGACAGAGTCGAATGAACACTTGTCGAACATAAGTCAACGAATCTGCCTTGATAATGCACAGATGTCAGTTGTTCACGAGAAGCTGACTGGTACACATGAAGCTCTCACCTTGTGTGTTGATGAACATGATGACACTCTCAAGAGCTTGGGTGAGAAGCCGGTACAAAAGAAGGCAGCCAGTAAGCATGTTTCAAATGAACACCCTGCATTAAAAGTAAGCATTCGGACACAACCACATGTAAAAGAAACTCACTAGTAGTTGTGAAGCATTTGATACAGCCAATGTTTGCTGACCTTTGTGGCATTGAGTTGTCCTTGGGGAGGAATAAACGAGCAGATGCGTTAACACATGTAAAGCCATTAGAGAGCGGTGAAGCTTACAAGACTGGGGAAGATGATGAAGCGAAGACCTGGCACCCGAATTGGATTGGCCATGTTGATGATGAAGTAAACGCCAAGTTCATAAAGGAAGTCATAGACTGGGTCTACAACAATGAGAAGGTAAGAGAAAGTCTTCAGAGTTGCACGTACTCACCTGATAATATTTTGTAGATCTGCCGTGAAAATCCTGCATTAAATAATGACATCCCTGATGATGACTTTGATAAGGAAACCATCACGCTATGCACAAAGGACTACTTCCGAAATGTACACAAACAGGCTGTGACTCGTACTGATCCATCAAAAATTGAAAAGGCTAATCATAAGAAGACTAGTGGGCGTCAGAGGGGACGGCGTGTCACGGTAAGTATTGTGCATTCTCATACTATAATCAGTTGACCCACCATATAAAACAGGTCACTAGGAACTGTTGTGAAGCTGCAGTGGCCTTTGAGAAAGAGACAGGAAACTTGGGTGCGGTTGCAATGATCGATACTGATTACACATCAGATATCTTGACCTGCGGAGACCTGAGTGAGGATAGTAAGAATAGGAGGACGATGTCAGGAGCAGGGAATGCTGCAAAATAGGCCGTGGGATTGCAATGGCGTTCTCCAGCCGTAAGCGTCATATTGTTGGAACTGCAAACATAGTTGTACTCACTTGAACTGAATCACTGGCAGTACATCGCATTTTTGTGATTCCTCACTCTCTGACATCTGAAGAAGTATGACACTGATGAGCACGAACCAGCTGTCAATGCCAGTACCTCATGTCCAATGAAGCGCCGCAAAACCATGGAAGCGAGTACCAGGACAAAAGTCTATGTGAAGAAGACCTTTGATATCAGCCCCAGCCAGATGGATGAGGACACACCATTGTCTGCAAAAAATAACCTGCCATTCAAGAATATGGTTGTGAAGCACTGGAGGCAAAAACATCCAGAGATGAAGACGCTTGACGGAGTTCCATGGTTAGAGGGATTCTGGACTGCCCTCCAACAAGATGATGTGATTAAGGAGGACTATACATATTTGAAAGAGCTCGAGGAGTGGCACCTGAAACAGGACAATGGGGGAGATGAAAGTGGGGGAGATGAGAGCAGGGGAGATGAAAAATGATGAGGATGTGAGTGAGTCAGTGTAGCGAGCTGTTAGCATAACGTAGAAGTGTAATCAGCCATTACATACCTTCTAAGTTTTATATCATATGTCAATCACTAGATTAACTCTCGTCAATGTCACATGAGTTCAACAATAAAAATCTACCTTAGCAAGATCAATAGTCGCCCAAGCCTTCGTTCTCTCATGACCAATTGAAACAACCATCATTCCCAGCTAACTGATCATCCAGTCAGGGTCAATGAGGTGTGGGAGTTGTGTATCATTGTTGCAATACTCTCTGAGTCTCCACAGCTGGACATTGACAGATGCACTACATAAAAATCATCAATAGCATCCTCATAGAGTTCGAATGCACACACAAGGTTCTCCAAATATCTTCGCATTCTCCTGTCCAAGGGACAAACCACTGCATGCGGACAAACCACATTGGACTACCAACACCACGGAAGTTCTGCATGTACTGAAAAACTTCTAGGACCTCACCATATGCATGCACTGGAGCGGCATCAATCTGAGGGATGAGAACATGCACAAATGAAGAATTATTTGAACCAGTGGTATGAGACGCATTGTAGCGCTTGCCATGAATGACAATGTAGTCAAAGAAGACAGTCATGTGATCTAAAGGAACACTGTGAGGGACAATGGGAGCATCATAGCGGCAGTGAACAGGTGTGAGAGGAAATCGAATGCAGATAGTGCAGGCCAGTAGTTGATATGTGTCTGATGACATTCGCTTTGTCTGGTGACGAGGGCTTAAAGTATACATCTGACTAGCTAACGGTAACGTAAATTAGAAGCTGTTGAAACAGTGATGACAATAAAAAAACTCACCATCAGCGCTCGTGTTGTCAAGATCCTGAGTTAAGGCTGTGAGCCCTGCAACAGTACCTCGTTCTTCATTGGTGGCCTTGAGCATGTGCATGGCTGCTTGATGAGGAAGTGAACCTTCAGGATAGGTTTGTAAACTGTACGTCTAGATAACAGATTGAAATGTAATAATATCAATTCATCTGTGATCTTACTCACCAGTCTTCCCATCTCATACGTCCTCTAGAATTCACGGAAAAAGGTTGTTTTGAGGTCACCATTCGCATGATTGTTTGTCTTGAATGATTTCAACACTTTATTGAGACGCTCAAATAAGAACATCCAAAAGTCATGCATGGGGCTGAAATTGCAACAACAAGCACCAACATGTGTAGTGAAATGATGGTTAGGTTTGATGGCACCAGAGCCGTAAAGCTACAAGCAATCGTAAGAGCAACACGTGAACAAACAGCTGACAGCTTACATGTATGAGCTCGATGTTATACTCTTGGATCAAAGTATCTGCACAATCAATATCATCATCTGATAGCCTTCATTGAATCAAAATACGAAGTGCTGCAGACAGCTTTAGAAAATTAGCGGGGTCGTCAGGGTGAAGTGAAAATTTTGTGTCTTCAAGATCATCAGCCTCAGCTACTTGAGTAGTTGCTGTAGGCTGTGGAGGATGATGTCGTACACTGCCTTCAGGCAAATCATCAACAGTCTGTGATGTAGCCTTGCGCTTTTTTGATCCCTAGAGGGATGATCAGTAATGACTATTAAGTTCAAATATATAATTACCTTTCTTGCGCTCTTTTCTTTGGCCGACCTCTCTTTTTCTGCCTGTTTGGTGAGAGCTGCTTGCAACTTTGCTTGTTTCTTCACTTCAGCGGCAGCAACTTTTTCTTGTGCGATCCGTAATTTGACTGCCTCGAATGCATCCTTGCTTTGCTTCTTGGCCTCAGCTAAAGCCTTCCTATCATCAGCCTTACGGTTTGCCTGGACATCCTTATCAGCCTCAATTCTCTTGATTAATGCAACACGCTGTTGAAGGACTTCATCATCAGCATCAGAGGGAAGACATGAACTCCAGAGCTGGGGAATCTCCGTATGAACTCTTAGCTTATAAGTCTGTCAAAATATGAAATCGACTTACAACAATTGGTCCATAGACCGTCGCCAAAAGTAGCCACTGGTTCACAGTGAGAGAACCGCTGGATGGCATCCCTATATCTGTCGGAAGCTTCCCACACAACCCAGGAACTATGAACTGTGAAAAGAGGTAAGCTGTTGTAATGCTGTCAGCTAGACCACCAGCATACATCGGCGAGCATTTCGTGGAATATCTGCAGCTCATGGTTAGCGCGCAGTATCTTGTTCTGTACCAAAATATTAAAAAAATGTGTTTTCACAAGCCCTGAATACGAGTAAGATTCAATAGCTGGATCTAGTATAGCTCCAAGACATACCAAGAAAGAGATTGTGCATCAGATCTATCACAATCTGCTTCACAAGGTCGAAATATGGGAGTCGAGCAAGCTGTGTGTATCGAGTAGAAAATTCCTTTACAAGGTTCTTGCATGTGGTTGGATTATCAAGCTTTTGATAGTGTTCACCTAGTTCACGCTGTTCTTCATTAGTCCGTGGTCGAAATGCTGTTGCTCGAGTCATGATCAGAGTAGTACTACAATGCAATGAGCTTGTGGACCCACCGCCTTCCTCAAACACCTGAGGTTTAGCTTTGTTCACAGACATTATCCAGCAAGCGGTGCAATAATATGTATGTGAATGGGATGCAAAACCGCTGATCTTATGTGCAGTGGGCTTATCACAAACAACTGCCACCAGAACAACACAAACAACACGACCTGAAGATATATGTACCATATCAGCACCAGTCAGATGAACTGAAGATGCAATCACCTTGAGGGCAAGATTCTGTCGGAACCTTGATACCAAACTTCCAAAGGCGTAGCAAATCGGACACAATTGGTCAAAGGTAGCACTGAATCTGATCGGGATTCTGCTCTTTCGGGCCAGGAAGTATGCTTGTGCACATTAGGTTCGATGTTTGGTAGCTAGAACATTGATTAGGTGTGATTGACGAAAATGGATAAAACTCACCGATACTCTGGCGGAAGGTTGCATATAGAAAATGAGGTAGGGCAGGATGAGTGCGATGGTGCAATATTGCTTCAGATGTATGAAAACCTAGAGATGTATCAACAGGTATTCGGAGTTGACAATTAATAAGATGACTTACCAGTCAACACCTAAATTGACACCTATATGAAGTTCATTGTGCGGCCCATGCTTCTCGTGTGGAAGGTTCGAAAGAAAGGCTTGCCATCAGTGTCTTTGAGCTGGGTCCGACACATATCACCATCAAAAATGCCCATATACTCGCCTGGAGCACGAGGTTTCAATCGCCAGCTATCAAGGAGTGTCTCGATGCCTGGAATCCTCAGTAGCGACTTGATCTGTTCTGAAATAGGAAGATATGGGTACTTTACGACAGGTGTTTTTGTGGTGCGCTGGTTCCCCCGCTTCATTGTATCTGGAAGGAACAAATCCACTGCACAAAGTGTGCATTTGTCATGCAATTTCGTGGATCTGGCAGGAGGGAAAATGTCTCGGCATGTAGGACACACTGGAAGGACAAAAATGTTCTTATTGATGCCAAGAACACAATGACTTGATTGCAGTGTGATGAAGGGAGTGTCGATCACTGGAGATAGGGCCACAAGGATACACCCCAAAATAGTCAGTAAGGCATTACATGCTGCTTGTGGAAGGTGGAACTGGAGATGTAACCATGAGACCAGTGCATATATTGTGATCAGATGAGGGGGGATATCTGTGAGGTCCCTGTCGTGTGTTGAGTTGAAACCTTCTTCTGGCAGAAATGGATCAGGGTCGTCCTCGTTTGGATCTGTGGATGGCATCACATTATTGTCTTCATTGTCTTGATCATCGAATATTCCATTGACATCAATGTCTAGGTCATCGAGACCATCCTCGTGTTGTTGTAGAACTTGACTGTCTTCATTTTGGATCGCTTTGATGGCTTTTTCGATCTCACGATCTAATGCATGCTGTTCTGGGTCATGTGGGAGGTGATGGGCTTCATATGAGGTAAGGGGACGTGAGCTTGAACTGCTAGCTCTCTGTATTGGTCCTTGCAATGTGCTTTGTCAATATAATGTGCTTCAGATGATGTAGATATGAGATTACTGGAACAAGGTGTGGAAACACATTTGAGGTCATTCACTGAAGCTTGCTGTAATAGTTCATCGCTGAGGTGCCGCATTCGAGGTTGTCCAACAGAAAATCATCTAGCACTCTGAAGGTGAACATGGTCTTCAGCTTGTTAAATGATGCAGGGAAAAAGCCATGTCGAAACATTTGAATGTCTGGACTCATGGTATTGGGAAAATCACAACATCGAACCTGGAGGCGATGGACTCCTGACATGTCAACGATGACCATTGTATTTTCCTTGGGCTGGAACTCGGGTCCCGACACAGATGGTAGATCTTCAGGTTCAAAGTAGTCTTCTTGTTCATCTTCGTCAAACAAATCCCACCTATCCGTGACTACCAGACATTGCTTGCCATCATGTCCAAGGTATATGATGAGTCCAACATGAGCCAGACAACTTTGCTCAAAGAATTGACCATTCCATTGACTGATCCAGTGGAAAGGATTGCAACAATGTTGACTCCGGCAACAGCCCGTGCAATAGAGTGGCTCCCCAAGACAATCTTGACATTTGTAGACCCCATCCTGGTCACAGATGACGCATCTCCTATCTTCTGGTGGAGCTTCTCAATCCAAGAGGTGGTGGAGATATGATTCCTGCCTTGGCAGCCATTGCCTGAGGTAGTCATTCTGACTCTGCATTTTTTAATACTTAGCTATCATTTGAAAGACATTCCAACATTTTACATGAACTTGCCATTGTTTTTGGGAGTTGCAAGGGCTCAAATGACCCTTGGTCTTGCTCGTAAGTATCTTCAGGAAAGTCTTCCCAAGGAGGTGGGGCCTGAACAGGTTCAAGTGTCGGTGATTCCAGGGGAGAGTTAGGCATGGACCTGTAGGCATGTTGTCTTGTGCTGGCAAGTGGGACCTTGACCCATGTCTTCCTACCTTTGCTGCCCCTTGCTTCTACCCTGTGGGATTTCTGCATTGGGGTGCAATGACCTATCTTCATTTTATTTTTCAATGTTGCAAGGAAAGCATTAGCTCAGGAAGGTCAAATGAATTGTTATTCCATTATTGTATCATGCAGTTTGGTTGGCTCATTGCCAATTCATTTCCATTAATGGCATTGTGTCCGTTATAGGTGGATTAACCAACTGTTAGGCTTTGCTCAAAGTTGAACTCGCGACCATTATTACTTCCACTTTGCTTATCCTCAGCCCATTCTGCAATCTTATTCACCATGGCAAGATCAGGTCATTCCACTCAGTTGACTTCTGGAAGACAGAGAACACATCAACCACAGTCACAGAAGCTCAGGGAAAACGAAATTTCAGAGCTGAAGAACTACCTTCCTGAGTGGACTTCTGCAAAAAGGAGTGAGAAACAGGGAGTTTTCAATGCCATAGTGCGAGCGGCCAGGTTATTTGCTCCTAAGGTCGACCAAGGACAATGGAAAAAGAGGAAGCAGGTGATACATCCTTGTTGTGTTGAAAAATTCGATTTTTTATGTCTGATTCTTCCATTGCCTCTTAGATGTATAAGACTTGGTTGTTCAACAACAAGAAAATGAAGGAAATGAAGGACATGATTAAGTATGGGAGGAAATGGATGCCTAGGCAGGTGATCTACCAGCAGAACAGAGAGGAAGTGCTAAAGAGGATTGAGGACGAGTTCGGGGCAAAGCCAGGAGGTCAAGACATGTTCAAGTATTATCAAGGTGCGGTGAAGAAGGTCATGGCTGAATTGTCCAAGGATGAGTTGGAGAAGGTGAAAGAAACCGCCAAAGAATGGTCCAACAATGTTCCTCCTCCTGAGATACAGGCGCAAGTCGCCTGTAAGAAGGGACCTGTATATATGGAGCACTTTTCAAATGAGATGTGGAGACAATGCAGGATGAGAGTGTTTGTGTTGTCGGCTTGGAAGAATGAATGTGGAGAGGTGCTGCTCAGGATGTCAGTGAATTTTATCCATCATCACAGATATTTGGTCTCAACTTATTTCACATAGGCATGATGATAACGAGGCATTAAGGGATGGGGATGGCTTCATTAAGACGAAGGACTGGGAGGACATAGAGCCGGTTTGGCAGGAGTACGCGCAGGAACAGTTCGGTGAGTGTTCCCACTGTGGAGACTAGAATGATTTCATTGATCGTCGGGATGATAGGTGCTGAGGCATGGGATGGAGGACAACAGGTGAAGGGAGGGTGAAAAAGAATGAAGAAACCGGTGTTCGATCTGGAAATGAACAGGGATGGGATGCCTTTGCTTCCAGACATCATGGAAACAAAACTTGAGCAGAAGAAGGCCATTGTGAGGGCTTTTCTTACAAAGCACTATCGTGAGTCTGGCTTCGCAACTTCCTAATAGAATCTGTTTGATGGAGGGTACAGGGATCTGTTCTGGGATTGACAAGGCCGTTGTGCCATGAAGTGCCATCGTACAAAGTCAGGATGACTTTGTGGCCAGAAAGTATCTTCCAGCGGATGTAGACTTGAAGGAGCCTTCCAAGTTGCAAAATTGGGATACCACTGCCTTGCTCAATTTCTGGTATGCTCGGCAGGAGACAGGTGAAGGTCCGATGTTCCTGTTCAAAGCATGGAGGAAGAAAGAAGGTGACATGGTAGATTCCGTTGTATCCAAGAAATCACCTCCTCATCAGAAGTGTAAGAGGGTGATGATCCGGAGACCTTGGGATTTGTCAATCGAATCCGAGAGTGATGCCGAGGGCAATACTCATCCAGATGACGAAGCTGATGTTGATTCAGCTGATGGTAGATCCCCACAAAAGAGATCCAGAAGAGCTGTGGGTCCTGCATCAGCATGTGAAGGAACTGCAGTGCCACATTCAATTTCCAAGCCTCACCCAGTCAAGCCTGCAAAATCCGGCGCCCTCCTGACATCACAAATGGGCGACCTCCTGGCTGGCTTTAATGCTGGAGACACCGGTGATGTTGAAAATGCAGTTCCACTGCCGGCCCCAAAGAGTATCCGGGGGAAGAAAGATGTGATTGAGGCACCGGCGAGAACAACTCGGAGTAAGTCAGTGCAACAACCATCTGACAGAGTTACTAGAGCAAGGGGCAAAAAGTAATGTACTTGTACCATTGTCTCGTATGTCCCTATCAATGTTATTCAAGCAGTATTCAATTTACATGTGATGTAACAAATACCGAGTTCTGGGTATCAATTACCGAGTTTTGGGCGATTGACGATCGGCGGGCAACATCTGGGGGGTCTGCAACATCTGCTTATTCGGATTAACATACCACGTTCTGTTCGGGTATCAAGCTCTGGGCATCAAGTACCAAACACCGAATACGGAGGCAATTGACAATCGGCGGGGCAACATCTGGGGGGGTCTGCAACATCTGCTTATTCAGATTAACATACCATGTTCTGTTTGGTTATCAAGTTCCAGGCATCGAGTACCAAACACCGAATGCCGAGTTCTGGGTGCTGAGCTCCGGGCATCGAGTGCCGAGTTCCGAGTTCCAGGTAACAAATACTGAGTTCCAGGAATCAAGTGCTGAGTGCCAAAACCACTTGGTGCCCAGACCTAGATGCCCGGAACTTGATACCCAGAACTCTTGATTGATTACTTATTCTACATGGCAGTGATGTAACACCTCTGTGTTCCAGTAATTTACATGTGATGTGACTATGTTATCAAAGATTCGGTAGTTTACTGAGTTGGTACTTTACATGTAATGGTATCGAAAATTCAGAAGTTTAGTTTTGATTTTGTTCTTCACACTGACGAATCATGGAATATACCACCTTGAGCATTTCGATGCTTGCCTGTTCAGCTCTTCTCAGCCTCTGTAGCTCAGCATCAGCCCTCCGGAGCTTGTCAGATGTATCCGCCCAACCCATTTGAAACGGTCGCTCGGCCTTGATGAGTAGTGGTATGGAAGGCACCAGAAGACCTCCATTATCATGTTTGTAGCTGCTGAGTCTATCTTGAAGGGATTGCACTGAAATGAAAATAAGAAAAATGATAGATATAGTAGTATACCAGATACTCACATCTGGAGTGTTCGAATGACCCTATTGGCTGGAACTCATGAACCATCACATACAAATCTTCATTGGTGACCTCCGGTTGTGCTGGATCACATTCGGCAGGTCTCTCATTTGCTTGTGAGATAAATTAAGTTTCAATTGAAAAATGCATTGAATTTACTTACATGACATGGAAACTTCAGATGCGACTGGAGACTCACAACATGCATAATAGACAGACCCCGGCTCATCATCACAATCAATCAGATCCTCATCAGGCCCAAGGTACAAGTCTGGGTCGATGTACTGAACTGGTTGATCAGATTGAGCCGGTCAACTGTCTGTTTTCTCTGAAACTTCATCATTTTCACATCTGATTCAAAGATCTACACATTTTTCTCATCATTCAACATGTCCACTCCAGCTGAAACCTCTTTGGCCGAACTTAAGGCAATCACTAGGCAGATTGTTGACATTGTCTGTGCAGCTCGGCTGCTCCCACCTGGCAACAGCCACTTGGCTCTGAGAGCACAAGTCACTGAACTGGTGGTATGTGGTTTTTCCTTTTTTCTTTTTGTTTTCTCTAATGTCCGGGCAGGCTAAGGCTGTCCGGGACCATGAGGATGCACCTTGCATTCCGGGCATAGTCTTGTCCTGCTCCAAGGAGTTACTTCGCGTTCGGCAGATGTCCCCCCAGGTTTGGCCTGACTGGCACAGCATTGGCCATGACGATCCTCACCTCCAGAAGCACAGCTGGCATCAGAAGGTCTTCGCCTGGGAGGCTTTAGGCGACCAGACGTTTGATCTTCCCCTCAAGGCCCCCAAATCCCTTGACACTGTCACCATTGACCTTCCCTCCCCACCTGTCGTCGCCGGCAGTATTGCCGGCCCATCCTCCAGCACTATTGCCGAGTCTTGGGAGAAGCGTCAGGATAAGGGTAAGGGTAAGGTGTTAGCACACAATACAGTGAATACTCCCTGTATTATACGGACACCCGAAGTTGAGATTCTGCCGAGTGAGACGGGCCATCTGAGATGGGCCCAGGTGTAGGTGTGCCCCGGTAGAGTCGATGGGCCGATAGGCATCAGGGTACCTGACACTGACAAATGGGCCAGCTGTGTAGTATATGATAGCTAGCTATTGGAGATAAGGGAAAGTACATGATGATTGAAGTGGGCAGGCCCGGGGTGTAGATATGGATGGGCCCAGTGAGGTGGATAGGATCGTGAACTTGGTAGATAGGGATGGGCCCAGTTAGATGAATGGGATTGTGACTTTGGTAGATATGGATGGGCCCAGTTAGGTGGATAGGACTGCAAACTCGGTAGATAGGGATGGGCCTGGTGGGGTGAATAGGATTGTGACTTCAGTTAATACGGATGGGCCCAGTTGGACGTATAGGATTGCGAACTCTGTAGATATGGATGGGCCCAGTTAGGTGGATAGGATTGTGAACTCGGTAGATAGGGATGGGCCCGGTGAGGTGGATAGGATTATGAACTCGGTAGATAGGGACGGGCCCAGTGAGGTGGATCGGATTGCAAACTTGGTAGATAGGGATGGGCCCAGTTAGGTAGATAGGATTGTGAACTCGGTAGATAGGGATGGACCCGGTGAGGTGGATAGGAGTGTGAACTCGGTAGATAGGGATGGGCCTGGTGAGGTGGATTGGATTGTGAACTCGGTAGATAGGGATGGGCCTGGTGAGGTGGATATGATTGTGAACTCGGTAGATAGGGATGGGCCCAGTTAGATGAATGGGATTGCGACTTCGGTAGATAGGGATGGGCCCAGTTAGGCGGATAGGATTGCAAACTCGGTAGATAGGGATGGGCCCAGTTAGATGAATGGGATTGCGACTTCGGTAGATAGGGATGGGCCCAGTTAGGTGGATAGGATTGCAAACTCGGTAGATAGGGATGGGCCCAGTTAGATGAATGGGAGTGTTACTTCGGTAGATATGGATGGGCCCAGTTAGGTGGATAAGATTGCAAACTCGGTAGATAGGGATGGGCCTGGTGAGGTGGATAGGATCATGAACTCTGTAGATTGGGATGGGCCCAGTTAGATGAATGGGATTGTGACTTCAGTAGATAGGGATGGGCCCAGTTAGGTGAATAGGATTGTGACCTTGGTAAATATGGATGGGCCCAGTGGGGTGGATCAGATTGTGAACTCGGTAGATACAGATGGGCCAAGTATGGTATGATAGGTATATGCAATTCACAGCATGATACATACATCTCGGTAGACATGGACAGGCCGAGTATGGTATGCTATATGCATGGTATAGGATTCCAATCTCGGTGGACACGGGTGGGCCCACCAAGAGCTGATCAACGTGTACACCTAATATGTATGTATGCATAACTACCTAGATGAAAACAATCTACTTGAAGCCAATGCCGAGCATAGGTGAGCTCACTACCAAACATTGATGGCCTGGCAGGTATGATGGAACTGGTAAAAATCACCAAACCTGATGTAAAGTGGGCCATGAATCTACTACCGAGAACAACAGAGGCAATGAATGACCGAGAGGTAGGGCTGAACTGGGGAACCTGGCACACTTAGTTGAACTTGCAATGGAATTGCTACAAGACGGATAATAAAGACAAAGGATAAAGACAAATGATACTGAAGTTACTGCTGGAGAATGCAGCGCTTACAGACAACCGGTAAATAGTGGGCAGAATTACATTTGTATGACACTGGTCATATTGTATACTTCATTGATGCTGGTCAATGAAAGGATGTATGAATGTACATGATTAAACTAAAACTACCAGGCAACTACCAGACAACTACCGGTACACTACTTCTCGGACTTGTTGGGGGTGGAAGGGATGCTAGACAAATGAGAACCACTCGGCAGAGTGGGAGAGCCGGCAGGAAAAACTGCGGAGGCAGAGGTGGTACCGGGGCCATGTGCTCCACTGGCTTTGGATGGATCCCAAACGGTGGTCCACTCTTTCCCCACTACCGAGATGCCCTGGTCCACCGATTGGATGGCCTCATGGGTACCCGGCGGTAGAGCGAGCCAAGCAGGGGGTATCGGGCCAAAGGGGTGGCCTTCAGGAGGAGCGTTGAGAGGCTGTCCGGCTCTCAAACCCCTGACACTGTTGGCGACATGTCTGATGGACATGGTGTTGTTGGCGGTCTTGATTTCGACCTCCCAGAGCCTGTTCTCCATGAGGGCAAATCTGCTGCCCCAGTCTTGGTCCAAAGCAGTGACCCAAGAGTCCATCTGCTGATTGAAGGCCTCTGCACGATCGTCCAATGTCTTGAGCAAGGCATCGAACTTCCAGCTGAGGGCCTCGACGCTCTTGAATATATCAAGAGCCATCGGCTGTGCGACAGATGGGTTGGGGCCGACGTCCTGCTGGGCTTTGGGGACATTTGGGTGGGTTGGAGGATTGTTGGGAGGAGAGAAGTCAATGTTGATGTCATTGTCAACAGTGGGGGTTGGTACCGGATCAGGCTGGGCCGGGAGCACAACGGCTGGGACTGAAGGATATTAATTAAGATTTATCGTGATGAGGGAATCGACTTAACGTGTTCTAGATCATCATCACCCTCTGCATCCACATCATCTTCGGCAGTGAGTGCCTGGCAAATTCGGGAGGTGGCACGTGTGCTGACCGGTGCCCTCGACCGAGTTCTGTATTTGACCTGGGTAGGGGGGGCGTTGTTCTTCGGGGTGCCATTCCGGGCCTTCTTCTCTGCGGCAGCAGCAGCCTTAACCCCTTTGAGGGCGACGGCAGCCTGCAGAAGGCGCTGCTGGTCCGTGGACAGACGGACGCACTTGGTCTTCTTGCCATCGCAGTTGCGACAGCACTTCCGGACCTCGCCGTTCTTCTTACCCAGCATCATGGTGCAAGGGACGTCATCCTTGATGCACTGCTCGCATTGGGTCAGGAAGAGGCGCATGGGGTGCGTGTCCTCGGCAGACTATGCAAAGTTAGCAAGATATTTTAGAATAAAACAAAAAAACACTCACATCTTCATCGCTGACCGAGGGCGGTGGTGTCGCGGTCTTCCGGACCGCCAGCTCCATCTTGAGCTTCTTCGGCAATGGTGTGCGTACCACCACGATGACATCTCCTTCTGGTGCTGAAGGTTCAGCATTGGGAGTCGAGGCCTTGCACTTTGTACCTGGCACAAAGAGATTGTGTTTGGGGGCGCGGGAAGGGGCAGGGGCAGGTGGTGGTGATGGCAATGGTGTGGGAGAAGGGATGGGGGAGAGGGTCACCGACACCTCTCAGGTCAATGTGGCAGCTGGTGGTACGGGTGAAGCCAAGCGAGCCTCCTGTGTCGATGGACCAGCCGGGCAGGTGTAGCCGATGGTCTTGTGGAAAAGGGGGTGAACCTGGATGTGAGGGTCATTGTCCGAGATCTGCATCCAGTCAGGCAGACCCCTCAGCTTACCGTTCGGACTGCTCTTGTCACAGATCTCGGCTGCACAAGACAGAAGCCTTGGAGCGAAGGAAGTCACAGCATTCCCATATTGGGCAAATGCACCAACCTGAAAAGAAGATCAACCGGGTCATCAAAAGTCAAAAATGAAAAAAAAAAAAGAGAAGACTTACCAAAGTGATGGCAATCTCATGTGCCAATGACTTGGCAGCTGCATCACCTTGCTTCAACTTTTCCGACCAGGTGATCAGCTGGGCAATCTTGTCTGAGACAAGGTCGAGAGCATTGTTGGCATCTTGAGCGGAAGACATTGTGAAAAATAAGCGGCAGGAGTAAAGTGCGGGTTCAGATTGTGAATGAAAAATTCGGAGGAAAATGTCGGAGCACAAGTTCAGATGAGGTATATATAGGAACAACCTTTGCAGCCACAGCACGCCCGCAGGAATTGCTGGCACCGCATGCCCATTATTCTATCACCGCCAATATATTGAATAATGCTACCGTTGCCACAGCACTTATCAAGTGCCATTGTTGACTTGGCAAATGTGTCAATGACCGGACCACCGCACCCACAAGGCCCACCAGTGGACCTTTCTGCCGTCCCTATTTAATTTGTCCTTCCCGAACCCGAGCACACATCTGCCAGACCGCACAATGTCAACGAGCCCCTTCAGTGACAAATCCCATACTATACGGGTCACCCAACCTACATAATATCCCATGTAATATGGGCCAGTGGATTATGGGCCCATGTTATGTATATTCCTGATGTTGACGGGTGGGCCGGGAGAAATATTATTTCCGATGTTGACAGGTGGGCCCATCTATGCTGATGTTATATATATCATCGATGATGGCGGATGGGCCGGGAGAAATATCATTATGGAGATGGGTGGGCCCATGTGGGTAATATGTAGAGTAGGATTGACATATATTATAGACCTGAGGAGAGATGTATAGCAAATATTATTATATAGACGGGTGGGCCAACATATTAGTATTATTTTGTAGACGGATGGGCCAAGGGAGCGGTGGAATATTTATTACATAGATGGGTGGGCCGACGTAGGGAAATATTAGATAGACGGGTGGGCCGACGCGGGGTATTATTAGGTAGATGGGTGGGCCGAGGGTGAGGTGAATTATTTATTACATAGACGGGTGGGCCAACGTAGGGGTATATTAGATAGACGGGTGGGCTGAGGGTGAGGTGAAATATTTATTATATAGACGGATGGGCTGACGTGGGTTAATATTAGATAGACGGGTGGGCTGAGGGTGAGGTGAATTATTTATTACATAGACAGGTGGGCCGATGTAGGGAAATATTACATAGACAGGTGGGCCGAAGTGGGGAATTTTACCTAGACGGGTGGGCCAATGTCAGGTAATATTAGACAGACGGGTGGGCCCAGATACGTATCATATAGACAGATAGGCCTAGGTATTGGTATACTATATCCACGAAAGCGCTGAAAGAGAACCAGAGAGCTGCCTCGTGTCGACTCAATCTCAGTGACGAGTGATACTAATAAGATCACAGTCACGTTTCACCACAGTGCTCATCAATCAAAACATCTTCGTCGAGTAGATAGATACCAGAAAGCCTGAATACACCATGTCTGACATTCACCAAGTAACAAGTACCGAGTACTGAACCCTGAAACCCGAAACCGGAGCCCCAAACACCCAGACTGGGGACTCGAGAGAGACTCAACTCGAAATTCAAACCTCAACTGGAAACTCATACATTTTTAGGAGTCTCGAGTTTCAAGTTTCGAGTCGAGTACCAACGCCCGACACCCAAGTACCGAGTACTGAATCTCGGGTGTCGGTACTTGGTACTCGGTGATTCGAGTATCGAGTTTCAAGTCGAGTACCAACACCCGACACCCGAGATTCGAGTTTTGAGTCAAGTACCGACACCCGACACCCGAGTACTGAGTACTGAGTACCGACACCTGACACCCGAGATTTGGTACTCGGTACTCGGTGAAATGTGTACAGAAATACAAATGTAAGATGATACACACAAATCACCAAGTACCGAGTACCGACTCGGATCTTAACCTATTGATGTTGTGAGACCATGGATAGACTCCCCTAGACAAGGGCTACAACTTTGGTTTTCATCGGAAAAGTTCCCACGGTCAAAGTGCTTTCTTGAACACTCCATTTGCAAGTATTTTGCTTATATCTTACTAGGATCTTAACCTATTGATGTCATGAGACTATGGATAGACTCCCCTAGACAAGGGCTACAACTTTGGTTTTCATCGAAAAAGTTCCCACGGTCTACAATATCGAGCACCGAGCACCGGGCACCAGGCACTGGGCACCGAGCACTGAATACTCGGGACTCGGTACTTGATACTCGATGCTGAATATCTTGGTACCTACTCACTACTCAATATGTACCTTAACACTTTTGAACCCTTCATTTTCGAGTATTTTGCTTATACCTCACTAGGATCTTAACCTATTGATGTCATGAGACTATGGATAGACTCCCCTTGACACGGGCTACAACTTTGATTTTCATCGAAAAAGTTCCCACGGTCTATAAAATTGAATACCGAGCACCAAGCCCTGAATACTCGGTACTTGGTACCTACTTGATACTCAGACCTCGGTACTCAGTATACAATGCTGAATCTCTTGGTACTCAAATGAGCACTGAGTACTGACTACCAAGCATTTAGTATATTGAGTATTGAGTATTGAGTACTGAACATTAAGTACTGAATATTGAGTACCGAGCACCGAGCACTGAATACTCAGTACTCGGTACCTACTCAATACTCAATACTTGGTACTCGGTACTTGATGCTCGATGCTCAGTACCTACTCAATACTCAATACTTGGTACTCGGTACTTGATACTCAATGCTGAATATCTTGGTACTCACCTGAGCACTAAGCACTGAGTACTGACTACCAAGTATTTGGTATTTAGTATCAAGTACCAAGTATTGAGTACCAAGCACCAAGCACTGAATACTTGGCACTCAGTACCTACCTGATACTCAACACTCAGTACTCAGTAATTGGTACCTACTCAATACTCAATACTCAATACTCTGTACTCAGCACTGAGCACTGAGCACTGAGTTCTGACTACCAAGTATTGAGTACTGAGTATCAAGTACTGAGCACCGAGCACTGAATACTTGGTACTCAGTACCTACTTGATACTCAAGTACCTGTATAGTGTACCCTCCCTCAGATACATCATATCACTGGACCAGGACACCTACACGATCCTTCTACAGCAACAAAAATTGATAAATCATGTGTTTCACATTTCTCATGTTTCTGACTGCTCTATCCTTGCATAAATAATCCAATATATTTATATATCATTAGCATAGCATATATACTTGCTTTTCATGACCAGGATCAGCTCAAAATATGCTGTTGCTTTGAGATGGTGTATATACTTGATATTTCTACTGATAAAAGGCCCATATCTCTGAATTATTGAACTTTAATGATCAGACACCTAGAGTATATTTCACATATATTCAGTATGATGGATCTAAAATTACAGAAAGATCCACCAGGAATTGAGAGCTGGGGAAGTGAAATAGATAAGAAATTGAGTGTGGGAAACGTCAAAGCTCAAATGCCCCAAACATCGAAAATGGTCAGTTGGTGTATCCTTGGCTATGGGCAACCAATTCAAACACTTCTATGCCACATCCCTCCCACCAACACTCTACCCTCAGGGCAGTATGCAGTATAGGTTCCTTAGGTAGTCCACCATGTATCCTACACATTTTTAATGAAATCTTCAACCTGTATCATATATAAATGTGACTTTGTGTGAACAGATGTCAATTGTCACTTTTCACACATATATTGTTTTGCTTGTCATTCACTCAATCCTGGATGGATCTTTCTAAGCCTTTAAGGCTATCATTTACCATGTGGGCTTTTGATCAGTAGAAATATCCCCTTTACATCAGATCTCAAATTTCCGGCCTAAATATCACTGATCCTTAGCATAATGAATGTAATAATGACAGTCTATGAGTAACTTGGATAATCTGTGTAAGGGTAGGGTGGTAAAACATATCAAAATGTCACAATTGTAATTTGTCAAGTGTTGTTCCTATGGAAGGATCATGTAGGTGTCCTGGTCTATCTATATGATGTATCTACTACCAATATTCATAGAAATAGACCCCATACCTGGGTGCTTGGTGCTTAGTGCTTGGTGCTCAGTAGTGGGTACTCAGTGTGCTCAGTGCTTAGTTGAGTACCAAGATATTCAGCATTGAGTATCAAGTACTGGGAACTGAGTACCAAGTACCAAGTTTTGAGTATCGAGTAGGTACTGAGTACCGAGTATTCAGTGCTTGGTGCTCGGTATTCAATTTTATAGACCGTGGGAACTTTTTCGATGAAAATCAAAGTTGTAGCCCGTGTCAAGGGGAGTCTATCCATAGTCTCATGACATCAATAGGTTAAGATCCTAGTGAGGTATAAGCAAAATACTCGAAAATGAAGGGTTCAAAAGTGTTAAGGTACATATTGAGTAGTGAGTAGGTACCAAGATATTCAGCATCGAGTATCAAGTACTGAGTACCAAGTATTGAGTATTGAGTAGGTACCGAGCATCGAGTATCAAGTACTGAGTCCCGAGTATTCAGTGCTCGGTGCCCAGTGCCCGGTGCTCGGTGCTCGGTGCTCGATATTGTAGACCATGGGAACTTTTTCGATGAAAACCAAAGTTGTAGCCCTTGTCTAGGGGAGTCTATCCATGGTCTCATGACATCAATTGGTTAAGATCCTAGCAGGATATAAGCAAAATACTTGCAAATGAAGGGTTCAAGAAAGCACTTTGACCGTGGGAACTTTTTAGATAAAATCAAAATTGTAGCCCTTGTCAAGGGGAGTCTATCCACAGTCTCATGACATCAATAGGTCAAGATCTACCAATATATTCAGCACAAGTACCGAGTTCCGGGTATTGAGTACCAAGTGCTGAGTGCTGGGTTTCAGCACTTGGTACTCGATGCCCGGAACTCGGTACTCGGAAATCGGTGCCCGGAACTTGGTGCTTGGTACTTGGTGATTTGTTCAATTTACGAAATGTTGTATTTTAGTTTTGTGTTTTGGTCCTCAATGCCCAGAACTCGATGCCTGGAACTTGGTGCCCGGAACTCGGTACTAGGTACTTGGTGATTTGTTCAATTTACAAAATGTTGTATTTTAGTTTTGTGTTTCGGTGCACGATGCCCAGAACTTGGTACTTGGTGATTTGTTCAATTTACAAAATGTTGTATTTTAGTTTCATGTTTCGGTGCTCGATGCCCAGAACTCGATGCCCAGAACTTGGTACTCAGTACTTGGTGATTTGTTCAATTTATGAAATACCCAGAAGTCAATATTAGTTACCTGGAACTCGATATTAGTTACCCGGACATCAATAGATGTTACCTGGAAGTCAATATTAGTTACCTAGAACTCGATATTAGTTACCCGGACATCAATAGATGTTACCCGGAAGTCAATATTAGTTACCTGGAACTCGATATTAGTTACCCAGACATCAATAGATGTTACCCAGAACTCGATAGATGTTACCTGGAACTCGATAGATGTTACCCGGCCTGTGGATATGATATCAACCATCTCAGCCCACCCATCTATATAATATACTACTACCTCAGCCCATACATCTATATAATATACTACCACCTCGGCCCATATGTCTATATGATATGTATCTGGGCCCACCCGTATATGTGATATCCAACTACCTCGGCCCACCCATCTATATAATATCTAATAAATTGCTCTCTCGGCCCACCTGTCTATATTATATACCCCCACGTTGGCCTACCCGTCTATGCAATATACGACTACCTTCGGCCCACCCATATATATAATAAATATTTTGCCGCTCCCTCGGCCCACCCGTCTAATATGATATATATCTGGGCCCACCCGTCTATGTGATAACAAGCACCCTTGACATACCCGGCTATTTTATACACATCTACCTTGGTAAACCCATCTACATAATATCCAACTACCTCGGCCCATCCGTCTATTGAATATTCATGTCCATCGGCCCATTCATCTACTCTACATATTCCCTACATGGGCCCACCCGTCTCCATCGGGAATAATAACAGTCCTGGCCCATCCATCATAGTCGAGGATATATCTACCTTTGGCCCATGGTCCGCTGGCCCGTATCATACAGGATATTATGCACGTCCGTTCACTCGTATAATATGGAGATATGTTACTGCAATATGTGCAAACAAGACACTCATGGAGCAGATGAGCGCAACACAGGATGTCGTAGGAAGTCTCAAAAATGAGTTCTTGCAGTTCAGCGACAAGTTTGTGTCGAAGTCTTCAAAGAAAACTGCGACAAAAAATACATCAAATGAGCATTTAAAGCTGAAGGTATGTAATCTGCCATCGTTCACTGACTGTATTGAGGCCTGACTTATTACAGCCTATCATCCATCCACTTTTCGCCGACCTTTGTGGAATTGACTCTGCTCTGAGCCGTGGGAAGTGTGCCAAATTATTATGTGCTGTGAAGCCCCTCGAAAACGGAGAAGCACTTATGAGGATTGATGGCAATGAAATCTGGCACCCAAATTGGATGGGGAAGATTGATGATGATGTTAATGCGCGCTTTGTCAAAGCTATCATTGACCGTACCTGGGGTAATGAGGAGGTAAGTTCATATATATTAACATACGACATGCACACTCACCTGTCGTTGATCTAGAATCTTCGGACACAAGGCAAATCAGAGATTGACAACAACAACTATAAAAAGGACGTCATCACTGAGTGCACTAAAGGCTACTGGCGAAACATACACAAGCAAGTGTGTAGTAAGAGCGATGCCATAAAGGCTGAAAAAGCCCAGGAACGGAAAGATCTAACTTGTCAACGTGCACGTCGGCAAACTGTCAGTATCAATCTCATTTCAATCATATGGTAAATACTCACATGTGTTTAGGTGACCAAATCACGGCGTCAAGCTGCATTGAAATACGAGAATCAGAGCAGAAACAAGGGTGCACTCACAATAGTTGATACTGACTTCGCATCTGATGTGCTCTCATATTTGGAGAGTGAGCTTTCAGCTGATACGATCCAGTGGAGGAAGAAGGCAGACATTGGCAAGACAGCAAATCTTGTTTGGGGCCACCAGTGGCGTAGCGTTGATGTAAGCTTGATGAAAAAATAATTGAACCTTGCTGATTAGTAACACAGTATGTTGCATTCCTACACTGGCTTTCATTGAGGAACCAGAAGCCTGACACAGACACAGAAGATGTTGCGGGTCCCATTAAAGAGAGTGGCGAGCCTGCAAACAAGCGTCGCAAGACAGTGCAACACAAGAAATTCGCCAAAAAGGTATTTGATGTGGCGCCTCGCAAAATGTCAGATCGAGTACCATCATCGTGGAAAACAAATGTGCCATTTGTGACAATGGTCACAAAGAAATGGTGTGATGACCACCCGGAGATGCGCTTGCTTGACGGAGCTTCATGGCTGGCAGGATTCTACAAGAACCTGAAAGAGGATGACTTGCTGAAGGAGGATCAAGACTACTTGAAGGAGCTTGCCGAGTGGCACGATGGCAAAGGGGGTGCTGGCGAAGGCCACAACAACGAGGATAGCACTAGTGATATTGGCACTGGCAGTGCAGTTGAGTAGTGGTGGGTAATCCGTGGTAGTGAAGACTTGCAGGCCTCATTTGGGGGTGAATTACTTCATGTTTGCATCATCAGATATGTCATCTTGCAACAAAATCTAGAAGTACCTTTGCAAGACCAATCATAGCCCAAACTTTTGTCCTGTTCTCACCAACGGACACCATTGTCAAAGCCAACTGCCCTTGGATCCAATCAGGATTGATAAGCATAGGAAGTTGGGTGTCGCTATCTTGGTATTCAGCGAGCTCCCACAAACGAACATTGACGGATGAGCTGTGAAAGTCTGATCACCCGCATTTGTCGCAACCGGAGTTGAGGTTACTCACAAGTCATTCCAAATTTCCTCGTGTTCACCTTGCCAAGGTTTGAACCAACACATGTGAGCAAACCACAAAGATTCACCAAGGCCTCGGATGTCTTGGTCGATCTGAAAAATTTCAAGGACTTCACCATGAAGTTGGAGGGGGATCTGTCCAGTGGGCCAGGGTATGATGACATGTACATATGACGACTGATTTGAGCTGACGGTCCTCGATCCATAGTAACGCTTGCCGTTAATAATGACATAGTCAAAAAACACAGCTTCACGACTGAGTGGTATGCTGTGTGGTACAACTGCTCTATCAGCGCGGCAGTGCACGGGTGTGAGAGGATAGCAGATGCAAAGTGTACGTGCCAGAAGTTGATATGTTTCGGATGACATGGATTTTGCTTTATGGCGTGGACTTAGTGCGTAGGATTGGCCTGCTATGGGGGTATTAGGTGACTAAAAGTATAGCAGGAAGTGTGACACACCATCAGATGCAACATTTTCAAGATCTTGTGATAATGCCGAGAGCCCAGCAACCGTGCCACGTTTCTCACTAGAAGCTTTCAGCATTATTTCAGCAGCTTCACAGGGCAGCGAGTCCACCGGATAACGTAGGAGGTTATAAGTCTGTTGGTCAGCATCAGTAGAATCCGTCCTTAGTATCAGCAGAGGGATCTAACTCACCAAACGGCCAGTCTGACACGTCCGCTGGAACTCCCGAAAGAACGTGGTTTCAAGCTCGCCATCTGCGTGGTTGTTTGTTTTGAAAGACTTGAGGACCTTGTTGAGTCGCTCAAACAGAAACATCCAGAAGTTGTTGAGAGACCCGAAGTTGTGTGTACAGTCAGCAACATGTGTCGCATAATGGTGGTTTGGCTTGCTGACACTTGATCCATATAGCTGCAAGTTTGACAATTAGCGTACTGGGTGTGACGTGAGGATCCACAAAATGATACTTTGATCAATTCAGCTCCATATTCCTGAATAAGTTTCTCTGCAGCGTTGATTTGTTCGTCGTTGATGTGGTGTTGAACAAGGATCCGTAATGCTGCACAGAGTTTTAAGAAATTTGACGGATCATCGGGATGCAGTGAAAACTTGAGGTCTGCATCATCATCAGGTTGGGGGGGTGCTTCGTCTGAAATGGGGGTCAGCTGAGGGACCGGTGCTGGTGGAGGGGGTGAACTTGACCCTTGGGTAGGTCTGTTACTACCTGTGACCCTGCTTTCCATTTTGTAGACTTGATGTGATTAGTGCACTGATAAAAAAACAATAGAACTCAATGTACCTTCCTTTGTGCAGCTTTTGCCTTCTTTTCTGCCAAAAGTCTGACCTTTTCTGCCTGCTTCGCTGCAGCCGCATGCAACTTAGCAACCCTCTTCGCTTCAGCCACTTCAGCCTTCTCGTTCATGATGCGTGCTTTTTCGGCTGCATATGCATCCTTCCCTTTCTTCTTTGCTTCCACTAGTGCATTCTTCTCATCCGCCTTGAGAGTGGCTTGTAAAAATTTCTCGGCCTCCATCCATCTCGGCCTCCATCCATGCGATCAGTGCAACTCGCTGATTCAAGATCTCCTGATCTGCATCAGTTGGGAGGCACTTACTCCATAACTGAGGAACCTGAGCAATAAAAGGCTGTGATGAGTAAATTAACATTGCACAATATATTTACTTACAATAACTGGCCCATAAACTGTTGATAAAAGAAGCCATTGATCAGCCGTTAACGAGCCTCCCGATGGCATCCCTATATCCGTTGGTAACTTGCCACATGAGCCTGGTACAACAAACTTGAGATATTATTAGAATTGAACATCGATAGAGTTAAAAATTACTTACGTCTGCGAGCATCTCATGAAGGACCTCTAGCTCATGATTTGGTCGTAAAATTTTGCTCTGCACCCATATATTATAGAAGTGAGTTTTCACGAGGCCTTTCGAGTGAGATATAGCATTAGCAAGTAACATATGGACGAGAGAATAAGGCTTACCAAGGAACAAGTTGTGCATTGGATCGACAACAATCTGCTCAACAAGGTTGAAATAGAGAAGGCGAGATAACTGCGTGTAACAAGTCGCATGTTCCTTGACAAAAATTTTGCGTGCGTTTGGTGTGGTGAGATTTCGGTACTCCTCCCCTAATTTACATTGCTCCACATTTGTTCGAGGTTTAAATGCTAGAAGCTATTAGTATACATGCGTCAGGAATACACAAAACATACCTCCTTTCTCGAATGCTTTTGGTTTGTCTTTGTCATAAATTGATATCCAACATACAGTGCAAAAGTGCATGTGTGAGTGAGATGCGAATCCTCCAACTTTATGTGCCGCAGTCTTATCGCATACAACAGCAACAAGAATCACACGCATGAGACGTCCTGTTGCAAGGCATCAGACTAGGATGATAAATGTATTAGTAACAGAACCTTCGGGACAAGACTCTGTGGGAACATTGATCCCATCCTTCCAAAGACAAAGCAAATCGGAGATGATTGGCCGTAAAAAACACTGGATCTGTTCCGGATTCTGCTCCTTTGGCCCAGGCAATATGCTCGTGCACATGAGATTTGACGTGCGATATCTAGTGAATTAGCTGAGGTTTACGAGATTGAGTGAACAACAACTAACCGATACTCTGGAGGTAAATTACAGATCAAAAATGAGGTTGGATCAGACGAGTGAGATGGAGCAATGTTGCTGCGAATATATGAGAACCTGATGATTGGACAATTAGATCTTGCTCCTGGCAACAAAATTCCAGCGACTCACCAATCTAACCCGAGATTGATACCTATCTGCAGCTCACCGTTTGGCCCTGTCCTCTCTGTGGGGAGATTCAAGAAGAAAACTTTACTGTCCGGGTCCTTGAGCTTCGAATGACACATATCACCATTTGTCATTCTACTACGTAATGAGGCATGAGCGGAGGAATAGAATTTGGTCTTTGTGCAAGTGACAGATGCGGTACCCTCCTTCTTGTTCTCGTACCGCATCTGTCGATCTCATCAGCTCAGTCGTCCGTGACAATTCTCTTCCTCCTCTTTTCTTTTCTTTCTTCATTCAGTCTTCAAATGAATTTCTCAGATCTCTTTCTTTCACCAAAGCCTGGTTATTATCACCCGGTTTCTCCCGTTTATTCATGAACAACATTGTGGCCGACCCGGCTCTCGAAGCACAGCCCAATTTTGAATCCGATGCGTATGCAGGATGGCTCAATGCCCTAGTTAATGCCGGTATTGCAAGGGCGGATGCCCTCACACAGATGATAGACGGCTGGAGGCGCGAGCGCCAAGAACACATGGACCTCTGGCAAGAGCAGGTCGAGAACGAAACTTGTGCTGAAAGAGAACTTGAAGAACGCACTCGTGCAGAGCGAGAGCTTGAGGAAGAGAATGAGCGCCGCGAAGCGGAGAAAAAGAAGCCCAAGATTAACGATTTTGATGCGAATACACTGGTAGCTGATGTCCTTGTTCCACGCCCATCCCAGTTCGCACTGCAGAAGATCAAGAACATGGAATATGTGGAACTATGGTATTTTAGCCCAGATGGCTGCCGGGATGCTTTTGACAGTTCTAGATCGTCCGCAGAGGACACGTTTGGACTCACGAAGGTTGACGGATTCATTGCTTTCAAACCTGTTTCGTCCTTCAAAGCCTCGCAGAAAGCCCTGCAAGACCACGACCTCTCGTGGTGTCAGTTCAACATTGCTAAGACGAGCTTCTTGGTCCACATCGAGAAATGTGCATGGCCAGAAAAGCACCAGCAGGCGCTTGCTTTATTCTTCATGCTCATAACCAACCACAAGCACAGAATGCGCCCACAAGGAGAAAAGACCCTCCTTCGCTACGCGGGGCTGGTACGTCGGGAGTGGCACGATTGCCTGGCCCAGAACCAGGGTTTCAACATCGGCATCTTCAATGGATCCTTATACAGCACTCTATCCGATGACATTTGTGAGGCGGAGCGCGATGAAGGGATCAGGCTGGTACGTCTCCTCATTCCTTAGATTGAACAAACCTGACAAATCATTTGCTTTCTACCCTCGCTTTCATGCTTCCCACCCATGTGACGCATGCCACCTGCTTTCACTTTCACTCTCGCACCTCACTGGGACACGCTACCTGCCCGCTTTGCACTGGCAATGGCAATGCTCCCCCCCCCCCCCCCCCGCTTGCAACTCGCTAACTGCTCACTTGCTCCCCATTGGCGGCAAACTCCTTGCTGCACTGAACATACCTCCCCGCTTGCCATCTGCGACACCCAGCTTCAGAACTCGCTTGCATCAACCCAAGGGTCAGTGCGGCCATGTCAGCGAGACTTCAGTGGGTCGGGGCATGAAAAATCCAACGCCGAACCCCCGTCTTCTCCGACAGACAAGCGCTACCACCCATACCGTTCCCCGGCTGCCAACCAAGCAGGGAAGCGCCCATTGAAAGGCCAACAGTCTTTTCCTGCGGGCGCAGGTCAAACCAGCCCCTCGGCCTGCGCCCTATGTCTGGGCCGCTTTTGACACAACATCCACAAATGTGCATCCGAATTCCTCTGGGACAAACAAACCAAGACCCGCTGCCGCCAAAATGCAGAAGGTCACCTCATCAACTCCGAAGGTTGCGAGCTATGCTACAACTGGCAAAGGCCGAGAGGTTGCACAAGCACTGCTCGATCACACGTCCACAAGTGTTCAGGATGCGGGAACAAGGAACATGGAGCTCAGGAATGCCCTCAAGGCGAGAGCAGCTAGGGCGCTCACCCCTTACCAGCCCAAAGCCTGGCTGCACTACCTTACATCTGCTAATCTTATGCACAAATATGCACATATTCCGAACGGTTTGCGGACTGGTTTCATGGGCAGTGTTCCCGCTATATCACATACTTATACCCCACCTAATAATCCATCCATACTTGAACATCATGATGCCTTCTCTACCATACTTAATCGAGAATACTCTACTGGTCGTTACATTGGTCCGCTCACAAAAACCGAAACCGAAACTCTCATTGGTCCTTTTCAGACTGCCCCCCTTTCCCTGGTCCTCAAACCAGGGAAACCAGGAAAGTTCTGCTTGGTCCAGAACTTATCCTTTCCCCTTAGACCTTCTCCACCCATATCGTCAATCAATTCCGCTATTGACTCAGATCTTTACCCATGCACCTGGGGCACAGCCTCCACAATCTGCCTTCTCGTCTGGTGCCTTCCACCAGGATCGCAAGAAGCGGTGCGAGACGTTGCAGAAGCTTATCGCACGGTTCCACTACACCCTTCCCAATGGCCAGGATTGGTGGTCAGGACGGGACCTGACAGTTTCGCAATTGACTCTAGCTTTGGTTTCGGTTTTACAGCGGCAGCAGGTTCATATGGAGAAATGGCTGACGTGGGGGCGGACATTTTCCGTTCACAAGGTATCAGCCCCCTTTCAAAGTGGGTCAATGACCACCTCTTCATTCACATCCTACGCGAACATCTACATAGGTACAACACTCTCCGTAAATCTCACGCTGCTATTATCGCTAGGAATGGTGGGCTCATTGTGGATGGGGGCCGAAAGTGGTACCGAGGTGCTACAATGCCTGACGGGCGAACTGAGGAGTATGACAAGGACTTTTCTTGTGACATCAAAGACCTGTCGCAATGCTCGCCTCGTTCACTTGAGGACACGCTGTTTACCTACTGCTTTGCGGATATTGACCGCCTGTCAAAAATCCTTGGCATTCCCTGGGAACTCGCGAAGGACATCTTCTTCTCCTCGTACGCACCGTTCATTGGCTTCCTTTGGGATCTTGCAGCCCACACAATATCCATTCCAGAGAAAAAGAAAGAGAAGTACCTGGAGGCCATTAGGGAGTGGGAGAGCAGACCCACTCACACCCTGCTCGAAGTTCAGCAACTACATGGAAAACTTCTTCACGCCTCCCTGGTCCTACCGGCAGGTAGAGCCTACCTGGTATCGCTCGAGGCCATGCTTTCCATCTTCGGTGACCGTCCACGTATGCCACATTCCCCTCCCAAAGCCACCGGAGGAGATCTCCGCTGGTGGAAAGCCCGCCTCTCTCAACCCAACATCTCCCGACTCATCCCTGGCCCTACTGAAGTCATTGACCCCACAGCTTACTCAGACGCTAGTTCGGGTGTTGGCATCGCGATTTGGATCAACGGGAGATGGCGTGCGTGGCGCCTCCTCCCAGGCTGGAAAGCAGAGAGTAGAGACATTGGCTGGGCAGAAGCCATTGGAATGGAATTCCTTGTCCTCTCGCTCCTTACTCAGTGCACAGAGAACACTTGCATCAAGGTTTACAGAGACAACCGTGGTGTTGTTGAAGGATGGTGGAAAGGCAGGAGCCGCAACAAAGCTACCAACGCCATCTTCAAATGGATTCACACTCTCGTTGAGGACGCCAAATGTTCCATCCTCACTCGCTATGTTCCCAGTGCCCACAACCCAGCAGATGACCCTTCCCGTGGGATCTACCCCCCAACCAGCCTACTTCTGCCCCCCATCCCAATTCCCCAACCTCTCAAGTGTTTCGTCATCGATTATGATGCTCCCATGCTTGCTTCAGAAGGCAGCACTGGTCTTCCGCTCGCAAAAACGGCTTCTTCCAATGACAAAGGCCATCATGCACTCGACCACCGCACTAGACTCAACGACGAGCTTCGCTGACAAGGAGAGGACCTCCTCCAAGCGACGCAAGCTTACCACGGCCTATCCCACTAATCTGACACCTCGAGCCTCTCCCCTACATCCTCACTGCCCCGCAAAGGACCACCTCCGGCTATGGCTCCCACTGAACTCTCACTCGTCATCAACATCACTCCCCCACGCAGACGCACAGTGCATTCAAGACGTGATTATCCACGCGTGGGCACACAGCACCCGAGAAGCCTATGGCAGCGGCATCCTGGCGTACCATGTCTATTGCGACTCTAAGTTGATCGGGGAGGAACTGCGAGCACCCGCATCATCCGAGCTCATCTCAGCTTTCATATCGAGCCTAGCAGGGATCTACTCAGGAAAAACCATTTCAAACTATATCCATGGGATCCGGGTATGGCATACCTTGCATGGCGTCACATGCGCGCTGAAAGACGACCAGATTGACGCCCTGGTGAAAGCGGCCATTAACCTTACTCCCGCCGCGTCAAAACGGAAAAAGCGGCAACCTTACATGGTGTCACGAATTCCTAACATGAATCATTTTTCATTTCTCGGTTTTCCTTCGGCTATGTCCCATACCCGAACCGGTCACATGACACCACTACCTTTCACATTATCACACCATCACCATGTCACACCTTCACCACTTCACATTTCACCAGTCACATCTCCGATCGGATCCCCTACGCCCAGGGCTAGAACCATATGTCTTCCTATCACTTAATCTCCGTCTTTGACATCATTGCTTATATATCACGACGTCATACTACGTCATCCGCAGTATCGTACGATTCTTTTTCATTGGCTGATTACTTACAGACTCAGATATCTCTGACTCAATGTTATGTATATAGGTAGGATAGTTAGCATAGTTTCTCTTTAGACTTAACCTCTTCGTTCCTACCCAGTGTAGACTCAGACGTTCACTCTCAATATCATCTCTGTTCTCTTATCTTGACGAGTCCTAGTGGTTGTGTGAAACCTTTGCCAATCAGTGAACATTGATCATAACATTAGGTTAAGTCTATCTTACCACTCCGACTCGAATTTTGTCTTGGACGCCTCGTCCTCGATAAACTTCACCCGTGCTATTCTGCTGAGAGTATTCTCACGGATTACTTTTCAATCATCTTTCCCAGACGCGCACTATACCATTTTCTTTTACGTTAGCTTTTTGTAGAAGTAGACAAGGCCCTTGCCCTACGCGAGCCGCCAGTCTATAAGGAGCAGTGACACTTAGGTCCTGTTTCCGCACGCCTGCAGTTAGGTCCAAAACCCTACCGACTGCACGCTACCTACTTTTCTTTTGTACTATAAAGAACGGCACTCGCGGGTCTTACAACCCTAGTTACATTTACCTTAGGAGGTTGTGGGTATTAAGAAGACCCAAACTTCACCGCGTCGTTCCCGAACTCCTTCCGAGTTCTATCTAGGTTGACGAACCGCTACACGTGCTGTATTCGCACCTATAGTCATCATAGCTCCCCCTTGGAGATCTCATCTCGTCAGAGACCGCGCCCTACAAATCCACAACAATGATACCTGTCGGGAGAACAACTGTCCCTTCCTTCATGTCCGAGCAAGACTGGAGAACAATCCAATCCCCCGCCCCGCACCACGCACAAACTCAAGGATGGCAGACACTAGGAGCAGGGCCATCGGTATCTGCAGAAAGCTTCACACCGACCCCGTCGAGGCCAGGCTCTGTGGTAGCGGAAGGCATCTTAGGCCCAGAGGGGACTACCATCACCCACCAGAACATTTCGAACACCATCTTCACTGTAACCGCAGCAGAAAGAGATCTAAACCAAAGCCGGTACAACGAGTTGAAAGACCATCTCACACTCTTAGCCGAGAACCTGAACAGAGTAGAGACAGAGAAGAACGAGCTAGCGCAGAGGCTAGTGGCAGCAGAGCAAACGATCATGGCTTTGCAAGCCTTTCGTACGACAACGCCAACAACACCGGCGTTTACCTCTGGAGTTTCGAGCTCTGATCTCAAGATGGCCAAACCTACAGAGTTCACGGGAGACAAGAACTCTATCGACGTTGACACCTTCCTCTCCCAACTCGACCTCTACCTCACTTCCTATCCCACCGCCTCTGAGCTCCAGAAGAGTTCCTGTCTTATTTCTTTCTGCAAGGGCTCTGCAGCGAAATGGGGAGAAAGCATATCCAAAACTTCCTTAAGTGGACGAATCGGGTCGTATGACCAATTGAAGAACGATATGCAAGCCATGTGGGGCATCATTAACAAGGAAGAAAAGATTGCTAGGGAGATAGATCATCTCCAGCAAGGAAACCGCAGCATCGCGGAATTTGTCTCTCTCTTCAGACAGAAGATCGCCCACTG